GTACGAGTTGCTAAAGCAATATTAGAGAAAGCCAAGGAATTGCTACAATGAGTCATGCTCCCGCTACGTGTTGAGCCTCGGGCAACCGAGAGCACACCGCGCCGCAACAACGGGTAATCATCGAAGTCAACATATTCAGTTATTCTTTTCCAGACATGCGCCAGCTTGGACCTCACCGGGCACGCACTCGCGCTAGCAAGGCACCCTCAATGAGCAGTTAAACCGGGGTCACTTTAAACTGGGTCCTGTTGCAAATCGCTTCTACACTGGCTCCGCCCGAAGGCGGATCCCACACGTCCCTATGCATGGGAGTGATGGTTGAGATCTTAATGGACCATGTGCGCGTTCCGGTGTCCCAGGCTCCTGGCGGCTTAAAGGGCCAGCGCGGGCATCTGGAGGAAGGTAACTGAATGCGATGACCTGTTTTCCCCGCATCGCTTGCGCGACATACCCCGGCGCACCCGCTGCGCAAGCACGCAACTAGAACTGGGGCTTATTGGGGGACGGTGAACGCCGGTGCATGTTCTCACGGTGGTTTACGAAATAAGATCGTATGTCATAAGAACCGGACGGTCCGGCGGTAGCAGTTGGTTGCGCGAGAGGGGTGCTTATCTCCTCTTCGCTAACCTTTTCATCGAGCTTTTCGAGAACTATTTTCTTCCAAAGATTGGTAAGATCGAACATATTGCGGCCGCGTTTGCGGCTCACAATTACTCGTCTGTTAAGAATACCGATTTTTCGCATATCCGGTATCAGGATGGTACCACCGACGGTATCCGACACCTCCGTTTGGAGGGCGGAATCCACGTCTTTGATACCTTCCCAGATCCGGGTAGGGCGTGGCCATTCAATATTTGTATGATAAGTATTGAGGCCGCGGTCGGCACGTTCGTGCCAATCCCGCCAGTATCCTAAAATAGTGTCTCCAAGTTCCTTGGCGTTGAAGTAATTCCAGGCCGTGTTGTATTGGGATTTAAGAACAAGGACGTCGCTTTCAGTGCGCGTTTCGTCTTTCTCGCTCAGACGCTTTTCCCAACGTTCTTTAAGGTGTTTCTTAACCCAATTTGCAACAAGGTCTTGCGGATAACCACGCTTCACGTAAAGGGCAACTAACTCCCTCACGCTGTCTAAGTAGCTCGGAAAAAGACTACTAAGCGTTGCTAAACGCGACATCTCGCCTATAAAGGTACCCCGCTTAACGTCGAGGGGGTGGCCAGATATCCATGGAATTCTCTCCATGTGGTTATTCGGTTTGCGATACGCTTTCCATTGCAGAGACCCATCGAGTCCGAAATAGAAGGTGGCGTCTAAAAAGTTACACCGCTGTGCCGATACTTCCCACAAAATTTGACAGCCATCGAATTGTACTTTATTTGCCATGTATTGGCGCGCCGCTTCGCTACTCGCGGCGCTAACAATAGCAAAGCAATCATCGATGTAACGACCATAGAAAGCGATTCTAGGGTCGTTAAGGACGTCGCATTTTTTCTCGAAATGGTAACCATAAAGATTAGCCAGATCTGGAGATTCCGGGACACCCATAGCGAGGCCCCGTTTTTGTAACGAATGCTGTCCTTGAAACTGACATACAAGCTTCGTACTGCTAACTAGCAGCGCCCGTTTGAATATTTGCGCGAGTAATCTATGTTGACCTCCGAGGTACCCGAGATATACTCCGTTTTCTTCGTCCGTCGCGTTAAATTCCATAGCATCAAATGTATGTTCAAGCCACATATTGTAAACGATGTCAATACAGGGTTCTAACGGAATGTTAGGGTAAAACGCGACGACGTCGCCGGTGACTAGATACCACTTGTCGCCGAACGGCGGAACGGGGAGCCGAAGCTTACTTAATTTTAACACCAAATCTTTGGATCCGTGGATCACGGTTGGCGCCGCTTTAATGAGCGGTTTAAGATTTTTAGAAACAAATTTACCGCAAGGTCCGGTGATGACGCCGAAACACGGCACAATTGGCCTGAATCCGGGCGGGTTTTTATGAATCTTAGGGATGCCATAAAATTGCGGGAACTTATGTTCCGCGCCATCCTGAGTACATTTTGAGCGCAAAAACTCGTGTACTTTCAGTTCGTACAAGTCAAGATGATCTTCCGTTAAGGTCGCTATAGCCTTGACTTCGGTTTGTTTCTGATCAAATAATCGTTTAGCTTGAGCCGGCGTTAATGGCTCGTAATCATTAGGATTACTTAAAAGCTTATTTGTTTGATCAATGATCCAGGTACGCTCAGACACCGCGAGTCCCAAATTCTTGTCTGTAAGAGTGACGACGTAGTCGCGCTCTTTAAGAAAGGACATAATCTCGGAGGGCCGTGGGGCGAGCGATTTACTTGGTTGCCCACGGTCGTGTTCGGCAGGGATATTGGCGATCGTTTGTTGCACGAAGCGCCGCCCATGTTCGAACCCGAGTTCAATCCAACGCGGTAATAAAGGCGCCTTCTTCTTTGGTTTAGAAGGATCGACGACTTCATAGTCTGGATCATATGGTCGATTCACACCATCTTTGAAAGTGAAAATGATACGCCATTTCAGACGTCTTTCAAAATCATTCCACGCGTCGTTTATAAGCGACGTATAATGCTGCGAGTGATACATATATTTTAAGCCGACTGACAAATCATATGCGATACGTTCAGGTACAACTACACCAGGTGACGTATGAACGTACGACCTGAACTGGGACGCCTCTAACACCTCGACGGGGGTGTTCAGGAGCACGTACTCAATTGCCTGGGTAGGAGTCAGAGTTAATACGGCGTCGGGAAGGGTGCGAGGGCGGCCGAATACGTACCGGCCTTTCGCTTGCCCTTGGGGTCCTTCCCGCCGCTCGGCTTGGGGGTGGTCTTCTTCGAAGGCCCCGGCTTGGGGCCCGTCGACTTCTTGGTCGACGCCTTCGCGACGGTCTTTCGCACGACGAGGTTCTTGTTGAGGGTCTTGCCGCCCTTGACCGAGAGCTGCAAGTGCACGTGTTAGTGCGCGGTGCTGTGAGGGCACAATCTTAGATCGTACCTTGTTCAGCTTCCCCTCAAGCGGCTTGACGCGTCCGGCGACAGCTTTGTCCACCAGGCTCTGGATCGACGGACCGGGTTTGGTCGCGTCGGCCATCTCGACGTCAGCCGACTTCTCAGTGGCCTTCTTCTTCTCGATCTTCGCTTGCATTGCGAAGTCGCGCATCTCGACGATGGTGATGCAGCGACGAGCGATCGGGTACAGGTCACTGATCAGGTAGTTAAACTCTGATAGGACTGAGGGATCGACCTCCCATTTATCCACGTGCACCCCCGCCGCATGCTCGATGGTGCAGGGTTTCCCTTCCGCGTTTCGATACGACGTGATAGGTACTTTAGAACGTGCGCGGACATCGGCCCATCGCTTGGCGACGGAGTCTTTGTACCGCTCGAAGATAAACTTCGGGTCGATGCGACCCTCCAGGAAGCTGATCTCGGCTTTCTTGGCCGAGATAGCCGCCTCCATCACCGCCTTCTGACCAGCGGCGACGGAAGCCCGGACTTAGGGTTAGGGGTTAGGGTTAGGGTTAGGGTTAGGGTTAGGGTTAGGGTTAGGGTTAGGGTTAGGGTTAGGGTTAGGGTTAGGGTTAGGGTTAGGGTTAGGGTTAGGGTTAGGGTTAGGG